TTTAATTATAGCGGGGGATTGGAATGTGATTCTCAACCCAGGAATCGACACAGTGAAGGTGGGACCAGTCCGTACAGATGCAAAAATTTTAATATCATTACTGGAAAGATTGGGCCTTATTGATGCATACCGTGTAACACATCCCAACGAGCACGGTTTCACCTGGCACCCGGCGAGCAGAGGACGGGTGACTCCGGGCCAAGTGCAGATCCCCACAAGCAGCCAGCGCAGAATTGATATGTTTTTTGTAAGAGTTGCTGTTTGGGAATCCATGTTGTCAGTAGACCCAGTGGTAGACTCCATGTCAGACCACTATCCGATCCTCGCTCGCGTTGCACCAAGCTCGTGCATCGATAGGGAACGCGGCTATTTTAGACTGAACACAGATAACTTAAATGACCCAAGTTTCACTCAATGGGTGCAACACCAGAATGAGGCATGGGAAGTTACAAAGGATTTATTCTCATCAAGGGGGGAGTGGCTCGCCACCGGTCTGAAAATTATCTCCAAAGGATTGTCTGTTCTGTCTATAATCAAAGCATACCAGAAGAATGAGGAAGAACGGACGTGTAGACAGAGGATTGAAGAAGCAGAGGCTGAATTGGGGAAACATTTGATCTCATACGTGTTTTGGTCCAGAGAATGAGTTCGATGGTTGCTCAAGTGGGATGAGATACAGATAACGAAACAGAAAGTTTGGCTAGAACGGTGCAAGGTGCTAGGAATGGAAAAGCTAGATTATATGTCTAAGGAAACATTTGCCTTAGTGAACAGACAGACTACGCAGCACCGAATAATGAAAGAACTAGCTCATCTGTTTGATCCGAATCTGCGTACGACCTCGGAGACAATGGGGATGTGTGACTACGCTATCACATATTTTCGGGATAATTTAACGTCACGCAGACCACCGGAGGAGGCATATTTGGATCTTACTAGGACATCAACCTTCTGGGCACATACCACAATTCACATCACAAGGGAAGGCAAATTGGCCTTGGACAGACCGATCACCAAGGAAGAGTTAACACATGCTGCCAAACAGATGGCGAAAGGGAAAGCTCTCGGAGAAGATGGGCTTCCCATTGATTTTTTTTTAAATTTTGGTCCCTATATTGTGAAGATTTAGTGCATATCTACAATGAGACAATAACTAGAACAAAACTCCCCTCCAGCATGACCAAAGGGATTAAAACATTGTTGTATAAGAAAGGTGAAAAGAGTAACATCCGTAATTGGCATCCGATATCCCTGCTAAACACTGTGTATAAGCTATTAGCGAAATCATTAGCCATCGGATTGGCAGGGTATCTACCGAACTTGGTGGGGGCAGACCAGGGGGCGTTTGTACGAGGAAGGTCAATTTTGGATAACATAGTTACCATAATAGAGTCAATGGTCGGAGGAGGATGCCATCATTCTCAGTAGACCACTCAGCACCCTGCGCGACCCACAACCTAGTTCTGACTTCCTAGCAATGAGAGGCTCAAGTAACTAAGTCAGACCAATGCATTCAGCCAGACAGTGCAGAAAAACAGGGGGGGGGGGGGAAGAAGATTGTACCCTCGCTCTTCCCGAACATCTTGTGCTATGTCACGGCAGCGGCTGGATCTATCCTCTGCAGTCTTCTCACGATCGTTATTTACCGTTTGTATCTCCTGTCATCCATAGTAGAGGTATCTCCCTTCCTTGCTTTGGAGATTGATCCATCTCCCCGCCTGAGGTCTTCCACTTCGACGCCTACGCGCCTTGGAGCAGTAGGAAGATTCTTCTAAGCGTCAACGTCCGAAGTCTTGATATCTCACCCGTGGTGACAAAACCTTTCTCATGATCGTTATTCACCATTTATATCTCTCATGTCATCCATACCGCTTGAAGTTCTCCGCTTCGACGCCTACGCAACTTGGAGCAGTAGAAACACTCTTCCAAAGCGTCCATGTCCGAGGTCTTGCTACCTCACCCGTGATGACTACACCTTCATGACCGCTGAGCATCGCGATCCTGACCTCTCCCTCATACCTATTCTTCGGTATGTTAGGCTCTTCGATGGGTGCTGAGGCGCTCATCAGTTCGCATAATTTCATATAGATTTCGTCGCATCCTGGGGACTCCTTGTCGGCCCCTATACCTCCCAAGCGCCTGGCTATGGTTGGCGTCAACACTTAGATTCAAGGTGGTGGCCGTCTCCCTTCCCTACTGCGTTTGCAGGAAAGTGACGAAAGAGCGCCCACGAAAAACTACTACCGGCGACGCGTTACGAAGTGCTACCGAGCGCCCGTCGACACGCCCCTATGCAGTTACTCTTGCCCTCCTTTGTCAAAGAGAATTTTTGTCAGAACAACCGAGCAACGTGCACTGTGGCCCATTTCAAGGAAGCCTCAGAATATTGTCAACGAATATGGTCCATGTGCCGGCTCACATGCAGTCGTCTTGACCACCACAACCATGGTCAGTGAATCATGCCTTGACATCTGACACCCCGGCTGGAGCAGACACCATCTGTGAGAAGAGCACTTTCTTTTCGTTTTTAGAATTTTTTTCTTCACTTGTTTCGTCATGAAACGGTTTCTTGCATTTAGGTCTGGACCCCATAGAATAAAATCGTGGAAAAGTCCTGGAAAAGATGACCTGGAAAAACTTTTCCGGGAGTACATCGGAAGAAAATGGCCATCTGGAAACTCGATTGTGGGAGGTTCCGTCTGTTTTTGGAGACCCCACCGCGTCGGAAAGGTTGTCCGAAAAAGTAAAGTTCTGTGTTTTCACTTTCGTATCGTGGTGTCGTGGCGGCAAGCGAGCATCTTGCGCCGGAATTTTGTGCCATTTCGAGAGGGTAGGGGGGGGGGGCATCTCTCTCTTGGAAAGTGCTTCTGGAAAGTGCTGGTCCAACCGTGGTCCGAGCCTGCACGTCCCGTGGTCCTTCCGGTCGGTAGACGGACGTTCTGTTGTCACCCACAAACGACCGGACACCCACGAAGTGCTCTGTCGAAGCAGGGCCGGACATCCATGACCACCGCGCGGTCCATTTGCAGTTTCCAGACTTTCCAAGCTCCTGGAAACTGCGTTTTCCAGCCTCTCCTGTGGGGTCCCGCCTTTCCGCAGGCGAACTTTTCCAGCCGGGTTTCCATGGAAACCCGAAGTTGGAAACATTTCTGGGGTTTTTCCTGTGGGGTCCAGGCCTTATTTTCCCTGTTTCACGCTGCCGCCCACCTGTGCCCCGCCACCCCCCCACCGTCACACTAAGGCTTGGACCCCACAGGTTTCCGCCTGGAAAAGCAGTTTTCCCTTGGAAAACGGGCGAACGATTTCGGAAACCTTGGAAATGCTTTTTCCGGGAACCCAT